TATATATAAAAGAAGCTAACGACACTTAATATTGATTTACATTTTTGGCAGCTTGGTGTTGTGGGAAGCTGTCATGCTTCCATGCCCGCAGAACTTTACTGGCAGTCTGTGCTCCCAAACACTCCAATGCCCAAAAGCTTACATGATCTTTTACGTCCTGGTTTGCCATTGATCTAGCTAGTTAAAACTACTGAAGAAATGTAGTTTAAATAAGAGTTTCTTTTAAAAGTCATAAAATTTATAAAATAATGTTCATCACTTATTTGAATAGTTGTCAGATAATTTATACTTGAAAAAGCTATTTTAAAGGTTAGGTCACACAATAACTTATTAAGCTTAATTATATTTTTAAATATATAGTAACTTTTAAATAATGTATTCATTATATATAATCTTCCCCTTTTGTTTTGAAAATAAATGCAGTGAACAAGAACAATTTTGATAAGTTGAAGTATGACATAGATGCCAAGATAGTTTACCAGAAATCAGATCTAAGTGCAGACATAGAGGCCGCCTTCGGCTGGGATCATGAATCTGAAGATGGAAGTCACCTAACTAGCAATGCTAGTATCTTTTTCATTGCTAGTGTCTTTTTCTTTGAAAGTGATCTACATCCAGGGAGGCTAATGAAGTTGCCAGGATTCACAAAAATAGAGAACCGAGCAACATTCCTACCTCGTGCATTTGCAGATTCAATGCCTTTTTCAAGTAACAAATTCTCTGACATTTTGAAACTTTTTTCTATGGACCCTAAATCAGCAGGAGCCAAGGTGATGAAACAGAATATTGAAGATTGCGAGAGAGCAGCCATAGGAGGAGAAGTCAAGTACTGTGCTACATCTTTAGAGTCCTTGCTTGATCTTAGTGTTTCAAGGCTAGGGAAAAAAATACACGTCCTGTCAACTGAGGTTGAGAAGGAGACAAAAAATGAAGACTTTACTATTGGCAAGGGTGGGAAGAACATGGGAGAGAAGAACATAGTGTGTCACAAGATGAAGTACCCATATGCTGTGTTTTTTTGCCATTCAATTGATAAAACAGATGTGTATAAGGTTCCCTTGATTGGTTCTGATGGGACCAAAGTTAAGGCGATAGCTGTTTGTCACAAAGATACATCAACTTGGAACCCCAGACATGTGGTATTTCAGGTCCTAAAAGTTAAACCGGGATCTGTGCCAATTTGCCATTTCCTAGGCAAAGAGAGCATTGTTTGGGTTCCCAACTGAAGTTCTGAAACATCAGCACAAGGGCTGTCTTTGTTTGGACGCTTACAAATGAATAGGTTATGTAAAATCTTAAATAAGTTGAACCTATGATCTCCTTGTTCTAAGTATGTTGTCTGCTTGTAAGATTTAGGTTTTCTGGTTTGGAAAATAAATGTCAGGATCTCAATTCTCTCCTGGCTTGTTACTGTATTTTCTCCAATGTGCTACTTATTACGTGTAAGTCCTTCCTAACTTTAGCACTTCTGCTTCTGTAATGCATGTACAGCCAGAGGAAAAAAAGAAAAAAGAAAAAAGGAATTGTTGGCTTTAGAATTACTCATAATCTTGATCCCTAATTCGCATTCAAAGAGTACAAATCAATAGGGCATATAAGAGTTAAATAGAAGGTGAATTATGATTACTACAGGCAACGTAGCAACATGGAAATAAATATTAAAAGTCACGGGCATTTAGGGCCTCCTTTCTTGGTCATCCAGTTGTTATAGCAAGGGCAAGACTGCTTGTTTCCATATGTTGCAGGAGGCACACACAAGCATTTAGCACAGCATTTTTGACAGAAGAACATGCACGGCTTCTTATATGCTGTAGCTGAGCATCTAGCAGTACATCTTGGAGCACATTCTGCAGTATCAAAATGAACACTAATAAACCAAACATACCGAACATTGCGATTCTTAATTAATTGCTAATTACTTCATTCATAACTAACCTTGAGGATGAAGACTGCCTTGTGTAGCACCATACTGCAATTTTAATCAACTTCAGAACTTTAATGTGGTAACATAACAGTTT